TATTTGAAGTTATCCTAACAGGAGTAAAAGTGCAGGTTTTAAGCATATTTCATGAGTTAAATATATTCTGAAGCACAGTATAAAAACTTAAATGAGATATTTGAAAAAGAACAAAATTAGAGAACACTTTCAGATACCTCCCAGTTAGTGGTGTTAATCCGGCACCTGGTGCTAATGTCTTTAATTATGTCAAACCCTATTTAACTGGCAGTTATTTAACTGGAAATTTAACTTTCCAGTTCTCACTGACTTTGTAAGATGGTGAGCCGTTCTAAAGTGACTGAAACCCTCCGACAGCAGGTTGTCCAGATGAAGGCCAATAGCAGCCATTGCAAGAGAAGCTGGTCATTTTAAATCTGTGATTTCTATAATATTGCATCTTTACAATGTCACTAACTCATTCAAGTCCCCCAAAAAGGCTGGTCGTCCACAAAAGACAAATGCACGAGAGGACAGGATAGTGCAGAGAATCTCAATGGGCAATCGGTTCAACACTGCAGCTGGAATTGCTTGCCAGTTCAGTGCTGAACAGGGTAAGGATCTGTCTCTGCATGTTTAAGAGCAGTCGGACTGAAAGTGTACTCTGCAGTGACGAAGCCTCTCATCAGCTGAAAGAATCAAAAGTCTAAGCTCACCTTTGCTGAGGAGCATGTTGCATGGACAGAGGAGAACTAGTCCAAAGTTTACTTTAAGATGGAGGAGGAAGTGTCCTGGTTTGGGGGATGTTTTCTCCAGCTGGAGTTGGGCCTCTTATACAGCTACATGGCAGGGTGAATGCAAATGTTTATCAGAACCTCCTGCAGAGTCCTGATCTAAACCCAACTGAAAATCTCTGGAAAATCCTTGGTGACAAAGTTATGGCTAAGAAACCCACTACAGTCACCAAACTGTGGAAGAGCAGTGTGAGAAACTAGTGAAGTCCTGCGGCCACAGATGTGCTGAAGTCATTCAAAGCAAGGGCCTCTACACTTCCTACTCTATTTTTGACTGCTTTAACCTTCAGAAATTTTAGTTGTAATCTTTCTTTGTGCTACAATCATTGCTGTTCTCTAATTCTGATCACTGTGTTTTCCACAAAATAAAGTTTTTTTTTGTTAAAGTGTCTTGGTTATTTTCTAAAACACTGTTCTACTAGCATGGTATAGCCAGAACTAAAATTCCTTCAAATTTTGAACGATGAAGATTACATTACTTATGAAAAAAATCAAGTGTTCATAAATTCTCTCATTTTGATCTCCACTGTATATATTCACCATATTATTAATTAATTGCAACATGTAAGCACATAAAACCCACTAAAACCCTTGTCGTAGTATTATCAGTGTACCTTTCATATGCAGGGTGTTGGAGTGAAAACCTGACACAAATGCTTTTTGTGAGGACCACGATGTCCGTCACTGTTTAACTCAGGTGTAAAGGTGGGCCTCTCTTTTTTGTTGTAGCTCACAAAGTAGCATGAATGGAGATCTGATTATTTCTCTTTCTCTGACAGATTAACATAATCCCGTCATATGCTGAAGCTTTTGTCAATTTCCGTATCCACTCAGCCCAAACACTGCAGGAGGTGAGAGGTCATGACTCATTCAGTTCTGATTGCTCATCTATTAACTTTTGCCCTCCACACCTACTTCACACCAACCAGTTTCTCATGAATCATTCTGATTAAAAAACTGATTAACTCTAGAAGGGTAGTTCACCCCAAAATTAAAATTGTGTCATCTGTAACACCCTCATGTCATCCCAAATCTGTATGACCTTCTTTCTTTGGTGGAACGCAAAAGAAAATAATTAGAACAATGTCTCCATGTGTGTCCAAACAATGAAAATCCAGTGTTGTTTGCACCTCATTGTTCTTCGAAATATCGTCTTCAGTGATCCGCAAGAAAGGAAAATGTATAATTCAGATAGACATAAGAGTGAGTAAATGATGACAGAATTTAAATTTTTGGGTGGGCTATCCCTTTGAATCAAACGCTATTTACAATGGTTAGAATCAAAACCCTTTCTGTCTGAACTATTTCATAGTTTGATCTTATGTCTTGTTTTAGGTTCTGGAGTTAGTCGAGTCAACTGTATCAGATGAGCGTGTGAAGGTAGAGCTAGTCGATGGATTCGACCCGCTGCCCATCAGCTCCTACGATGAGCAGGTGTTTGGCTTCCAGATCATAAAGAAAACGGTGAAGAGCAATGTTTCCTCAGCTCACGGTGGCCCCTGGTAAGACAAGTGATGCATTTCTGCTGAAGCACCCCTTACATACATCATTGACTTATGAAGAGCCACTTCTAGCTGATCTATGATTTCCACTCACAGGTGTCTGTGTTGGCAACACTGACAGCCGTCACTACAAGTATATCACGCAAGATATATATCGCTTTGCTCCGTCATGGTTCAAACCAGGTGATCCTCAGAGGTAAGACACAGGAGAAATGCTCTTTGTAATACAGTGGAGTATCCTAGCTTGAAATGTCAAGTTTTTATATGATAAAACATTCATGTTCCTCCTCTAGATTTCACGGTGTGAACGAGAGAATCTCCATTCAGAACTATGAAGAGATCGTGCTGTTTTACTCCCAGCTCATCCAGAATAATGACATCAGGAAGTTGCCGCCACCTCACAGTATACTCTTAAAAATAAAGGTGCTTCAAAAGGTTCTTCAAGCGATGCTATAGAAGAACCATTTTTGGTTCCACAAAGAACCATTCAGTCAAAAGTTCTTTAAAGAACCATCTCTTGCTTACCTTTTTATTATCTGAAGAACCTTCTTTCACCACAAAGAACCTTTTATGAAACAGAAAGGTTCTTCAGATGTTAAAGGTTCTTTATGGAACCATTTAGACAAAAAGGTT